GTGTGTCTGTGTGTGTGTGCTTGTGCGGGTGAGTGCGCATCGCTGTGTGTGTTTGTGGGTCTCTGTGTGTGTGTGGAGTGTGTGTGTGTGTGTGTGTGTGTGTGTGTGTGTGTGTGTGTGTGTGTGTGTGTGTGTGTGTGTGTGTGTGTGTGTGTGTGTGTGTGTGTGTGTGTGTGTGTTTTTGCGTGCATGGGTTGGAGTGTTTAGCCAGCTGGGGCTGCTAGGTGGGATCACCAATCATGCGCCCGTCCTGGACCTGGCGTAGCTCGGCCTGGAAGAGGCTGCTGTCACCGCCATATCGAGGGTTGCCCCAGGTGACGACGCCACCATCCCCCAAAAGCGCAGCGAATGCGAACGAGGAGGCAACGAGGCTCTGCACACCGCGGAGCGGTTGCACGCAGGAGCTGTCGCCCCCGGCGGCTTTGTCACCCCACGTGGCCACGGACCCGTCACAGCGCAGCGCCGCGAAAGCGCGGCCACTGGCCACAAGTTGCACCACAGGCGAAGGCGATGGCGGAGCCAACACTCGGCCACCTGAGCCCCGAGGCGACTCGCCGGACGCTGGCACGTCACCCCAGGCCACCACAGCGCCGTCACTCCGCACTGCGGCGAACGCGGAGCTCGAGGCGGCCACAGATCGCACACCGAGCAGCTCCAAACCGCTGTTGCCGCCTTTTCCCGGATCGCCCCATGTCACGACGCGCCCATCCCCGCTAATGGCAGCGAAGGCATATCTGGTAGCCTTCAGCTTCCGTACATCGCGGAGCTGCTCCTGAACAGCAGCGCTGTCACCGCCGTAGCCGGAGTCGCCCCAGGTGACCACGGTCCCATCGGCCCGGAGAGCGGCAAAGGCGGCGTAGGACGCTTCGATGTGCTCGACGCCTTGCAGCTGCTCTTGCACCTCGTTGCTGTCCCCGCCGTAGTGCGCCTTGCCCCAGGTGGCCACGCCGCCTCCCCGGCGCCGTGCGGCGAAGGCCGCGAAGGACACCGCCACGGCCACGGCGTCGCGCAGCTGCGGCGCCGGCCAGCAGCGCGCGCCCCAGGCCGCCACCGAGCCGTCACCCCGCACCTCACACATTCAAATCAATTGCCAATTCCTTCAAGTCAACCAAGTGTTCCCGTAACTTGCTAAGGTGCCAGGGCAAAGGCATGGGGCCGATGCCCAGGATACTCCCTGTTGCACACGGTGGCTGTCAAGAGGTCCCCGTCCCTGACTCCGGCTTCGAGCAGACTGTGGTACTCCTTCAACTGCCCGGAAGTGCTCGCCTCAGCTCAAGGGAAAAGCCCATCTTTGAGCTCGATGCTTCTGAGACCCGGTGACCTGCCATGACCCGAGCCGACCCGAGCTGACCCGAACCGAGCTGCCAGGCTCTGCAGCTGAAGGCCCAGCTGCTGCTGCGCCCGCCACTTCAGCTCGTGCACCCTCAAGTCGGCCACCACTTCCAGGCGGACAGCATGGCCGCTTAGCAAGGCCACCTCCACGCAGACCATGGCCCCCGAGCGGCCCCGGAGCGCGCCGGAGACCTTGCCTTCGGTAGCCTCCGTGCTTTCTGCAGTCTTTCTGTTGCTGCTGTTTGCAGGTGCCCCGCCCGCGGCTGCATCCCCTAAATGCGTCTCTCAAAACAAGTGCCACGTACCCAACCAGTGCATCCGTTTCTGAACCGATGAACGGCCAAGGCCATGAGCTCCACCTTTTGGGGGGACTTGCACAGCTCTGGCTGCGAACCCACAAGTCGGTTCCCATTGCTAAATTGCGTGAGACCCCCTGTGTATGCCCCAAATCCACCAATTTAGCCAAAATTCAACCAAAATGACGACTGGCACTTTTCCTCAACAACTGCCAATCAAGTCCTTGCAAAGCTGAAATGCATGCTCACGCCCAAAAGCTGAACAGGACCGGGGGAACATTGATCTGAAGACCTTGTATACGCACCCAAACACACTTTTTGCCTGTGTGTCTTCCTGAACTGGCAATTGTTCATGTTTTTAAAGTTTTTTTTGCATTTTGCATTTTTCCAGTTTTTCGCGGGCATTTGTTGCTCGATTTATGTCGCTGAGGTTGACTTTAGAGAAGTTAATTGTTTGGGTTTCAAGTTGTTTTTCGGTGGGAAGGGGGGGGGGCAGGACGGGACAATAATAATGCGCCTGTGTGCCCATTGTTGCGAAAGGCTTGATTCCTGCAGCATCGTTTTTCGCTGGCTGCTCGCCTTCGGAGAGTCGGAACGGAATTATCTTTTTTCATCTCGTTTGTTGTTTGAGGGCTCGGTGGCTTGCCCCGCCCCACCCCTCCTCCCAAGCCCATCAATGATTGACGTTGTTGCGTTTGCTTGCGCGGGTTCGGTGGCTTGCCCCGCCCGGCCCCCTTAAACAAATCCTTTCGCTGGTTTTGGCGGCATGCCCCATCCAGCAATAGGGTGCCCAGCTCCCCCTTCCTCCAAAGTGAAGCCCGCCAACGATTGAAGTTGTTGCATGCGCTTGTGCTTGCGGGTTCGGTGGCTTGCCCCGCCCGGCCCCTACGCCTTCTGCAAGCAAGAGGGAAGGCGTCTCAGGGCAAAAGAGTCTCACAGGAAAGCTGTGAGCTGACGAACGGACATGCGTGATGCGACGCAAGAGCCGCCCAAGTCGTATGTTTCTTGCGGATCATATTTTTCAAGCGGATAGATGTGTTTTTGCAGAGCAGATATGCTTGTTGCGGTGTGCGCTTGCGGGTTCGGTGGCTTGCCCCGCCCGGCGCCCACAATGACTTACGCTGGTTTCGGTGGCATGCCCCATCCAGCAGTAAGGATTCAGAAGGGGCGCTTCTGAAACCGCCCTTTTCCGGAAGCGTTCTCAGAAAGGCTTTCGTGTGTAAGGGCGGCTCGAAAAACAAGACTTTCGTGGGAAGTCTGCCTGCAAGTCTTGTTTGGTTTTTTGAAATTTCGGCTCTGACATGTTGAACTGCCCGTAGAAGGGAAATAGCGTGAGAAAGTCTACCAATGGCACGGGGGCCTGCTCGCAAAAAAGGCAGCGCAGTGAAGCAGCTTTGCTCCTACAAGAAGTGCAGAGCCAAGAAGGACGTGAAGAACAAGTGCCACACAGCTCGCCGTGAGGAAGTGGATCTTGAGCAATGTCGGCCCTTAAGAAGCCACTGTCAGACTGTAAAGTTCTGTGGTCAAACGCATTTAGACGCCTGCCTATCAAAAAAGAAAAAAGCTCCACCCGTTGGAAGGGAAGCTCTGGACACGCAGCAACTGGCCAGTCTTTTTCAAACCTTGGTGGAGCTAGGCCGTGGCCACAAACAAAAAAAGGGTCCTGCGGGCTGCGTGGGGCTTGTCTTTGTTTACAAACTTCAGGTTCGGAAAGACTTGCAGCGTGCCCGTGTCCATGTCTGCCAAATCGCAGTATAGCTGAGCAAAAGCTTCGTGCTCCGACGACAAGAGCTGTCCCGCCAGCTGCTCGTCGGCTGCTGCGTCGGCGTTGAACACCTCAACGCGCCCAAGCCACTGCTGAAACGCAACTGCGTCCAGCTGGGGACAAGCCACCTGAGCTGGCACAGTTGGCTTCAGGCAGTCCTTGAATTCTTCTGCACCAGCAAAAGGGGTGGCCAAATCATGAAGCAAATGCACAACAGCCGTGGCAACTCCGACCGCAGAGAAGTCATGAAGCTTCCGTGCGCCCAGAAGCATGTGCTGAGGACGCAAATCCTCTGCGCACGTTTGCCCTCGCAAGACAAGGATCGTCTTTGAGCAGTCCGAGTGCACAGTGACGCAGGAGGCAGCGTTGAGCGTTTGTCGCGTGCGAGCCCGCAGCGACTCGGCCAAGCAAAACTTGAGCTTCTGGGCTCGGCGGCGAAGGATCTTGCCGCCGGACCAGGCAATCCCATCATCACCGCCATCTTTTCCCTTGCGTGTAGCTCGCAGAACTGCGATGAACTCTTCGAGAGATGGGGCCATCAGACGCAGTCGGATGTCTTCATTTGATGCTGCGGCCTGGTGCCTTTTGGTTTTCTCATGGTCTCGGAAGTGGCTGACCTGCAATGAAGCAATGGTTCGAAACTCCGCTGACACATGCCCAGCAGCTTTGCAGGCAGCACAGCTGACGGAGAAGTCGCCTGTGTCCCACTGCACAGCCTCCAGCCACGGGAACTGCTCGGTCCACCGCCTGCCAAAGCGGGCCCATGCGCTCTGCGCGGACATTCCGGGCAGCTTGGGCCAGAGCTCTGTCCAGAGGGCGCTTGCGGAAAAAAACTTAAGTTTACGCACGAAGTTCCTGTCCAGAGGGCCTCTGGAATCCGAAGGTCGACTCAACAAGCCGCAGCGCTGTGGACTGTCCAAAGAACTAGAAACGTTCGAACACCGGCAATTTTGCGTTCCCCGAAATCCAAGAATTGTAGTCCACTCGACGGTCCGCAGCGCTGTGGTTTGTGGAGACAACTTGTGGAAACCGGAGACCTTTTTTTCCGCGGATCAAGCTGATCGGGCGAGCGTACGTGTCATGTGGGAAACTGGATGGACGTGACCGGACTGTCTCTCGGCAACCCTTGATCCTCAGCACTTCATGACGCCGGACGTCCTGATTCAATGTCCTTGGCTGGCCGCATGTTTTAAGCACCGTTCGATCTGCGTTTGACATCTCTCTGCAGCAGCAGCGGGGGCACGCCGCCGACACAAATCCAATGTGCTGGGGCAAGCCACCAACGCGGGCCGGGGCACGCCGCCTGAGCCACATCATGGTTACCAAACTCACAAACTTACGCGGCAGAGCGCGCAAAATGGCTGCAGCTTTCACGCCAGTGATGGGGCAAGCCACCAAAACACGGCCGCGCCTGCTAACTTGTCTAAGAGCCGCCAAGCGAACACAGCGCGTCTTGACTTGCCAAGCACGGATGGTTTTGCAAGCGGGCCGCAGTGACCAAACCTTGGAAGCAATAGAAAACAACTGCCTTCTGAGCTGTCGCCATTGAGTCTGTGTAACCGCACAATCAGGAAAACTTTAAGGTCACTAGTCCAGATTTGGCGTGGGGCCAGGCCCCACTAAAAGTCTGGTAGTAACAATGCGCGCGCCCACAGCTTGCAGGCAAACTTCCCACGAAAGTCTTGTTTTTCGTACACACGAAAGCCTTTCTGAGAACGCTTCCGGAAAAGGGCGGTTTCAGAAGCGCCCCTTCTGAATCCTTACTGCTGGATGGGGCATGCCACCGAAACCAGCGTAAGTCATTGTGGGCGCCGGGCGGGGCAAGCCACCGAACCCGCAAGCGCACACCGCAACAAGCATATCTGCTCTGCAAAAACACATCTATCCGCTTGAAAAATATGATCCGCAAGAAACATACGACTTGGGCGGCTCTTGCGTCGCATCACGCATGTCCGTTCGTCAGCTCACAGCTTTCCTGTGAGACTCTTTTGCCCTGAGACGCCTTCCCTCTTGCTTGCAGAAGGCGTAGGGGCCGGGCGGGGCAAGCCACCGAACCCGCAAGCACAAGCACATGCAACAACTTCAATCGTTGGCGGGCTTCACTTTGGAGGAAGGGGGAGCTGGGCACCCTATTGCTGGATGGGGCATGCCGCCAAAACCAGCGAAAGGATTTGTTTAAGGGGGCCGGGCGGGGCAAGCCACCGAACCCGCGCAAGCAAACGCAACAACGTCAATCATTGATGGGCTTGGGAGGAGGGGGGGTGGGGCGGGGCAAGCCACCGAGCCCTCAAACAACAAACGAGATGAAAAAAGATAGTTCCGTTCCGACTCTCCGAAGGCGAGCAGCCAGCGAAAAACGATGCTGCAGGAATCAAGCCTTTCGCAACAATGGGCACACAGGCGCATTATTATTGTCCCGTCCTGCCCCCCCCTTCCCACCAAAAAACAACTTGAAACCCAAACAATTAACTTCTCTAAAGTCAACCTCAGCGACATAAATCGCGCAACAAATGCCCGCGAAAAACTGGAAAAATGCAAAATGCAAAAAAACTTTAAAAACATGAACAATTGCCAGTTCAGCTTCTCTTGCCTGCAAAACATTTTGTGTGGGAACTGCACATGTTGAAACGATGATGCGACTCTTAAAAACGTGTCTTGCATCTGAAACACAAGCGCCATCAATAGCACGAGCATACCTTTTGCGAACCAAACACCATAGATAAATAGCGAAACGTCGACAGCTTCAAGATTTTCCTTGCACTATCGTAACCTGCCAGAGCGCCCACAACCAAACAAAATGGACGAACCTCTAAAAATCCAGTGACTGACAATAATAGCACCCTTCAATAGGGCTCTTAATACAGGGCATATGTTGCCCTCTGGCTCCGAGTAAGGTGCAGGTGTTCCGATGGACTTGAGGCTGCAGCAGGTGGGTGTCCAACGACCACCAACTACTTGCTTTCCCCCGCAGTCGGTTCAGCTTGCGGCAGAAGATGGGCAGCCTTGGACGGCTGCTGCCTCTGTTTCCATGGGTGACACGTATCGGACTGAGTCTTTGGCTGCCCCAGTTTCGTATCCGATTTTGCAGAGAACAGTGACAGAGGGCCAGGAACGAGTGGTCGAGCAGCCATTGGCCGAGTGGGCCT